ATCATTGCGAAAGGCGAATAAAAGCCACACACGCATGGACTGGGAGTGGCCTTAAGAGCAGGCACGCTATCCGGGACACGACAACGACGGCATGTCTGTTCTGCCTTAGCAATCCGTCACTTGTCTCGGACAGGCCTTCATTGTAGAAAGCACCCGACCTAAAAGCATATAGCATTTCCTGCCGATTTACCAAGGCGACACAAGAAGTCGGTGTGGCCTTTACAAAATTCTTTGCAAAGCAATTTTTTCCCAACAGAAGGCCTTAAAAACACCTTAGTTGTAATAAAGTGGCCACCGGATGTCTGGGGGGCATAATGCGTGTCGTTGTTGACGAAGAAGAAATAAGATATTTCAGGTATTCCCTGCGTCAAACACAATGTTCCAGTGAGTCTGAAGGAAAACCCATCTGTTTGGCTCTAACACCTAGTTAAAGCGCTGTCTGGACTGTTGTGCCCCAGGACTAGACCAAGGATCATCAGCAGCCCCTGACTACCACATTACCCATAGTAAATGTCTTCGGGAAAAGTTTCCCTTCCTATAGGTTGGATAGACTTCAAGTTTATCCCCTTTCACCACACGGATGAAGAGCATTCACGTCGACACGACTGATTGGAGAATATTGAGGCATGCATGCCAATAAAGTTGCGTTCACTCACTCAAAAATGACCGAAGGTAGCTGAATAATCTACCAAGGAATCGGGCTAGCATGATGTTCTCCGACAATATGTTCATGTTAAAATAAACTAGCTCTTCAAGAGACGATGAAGAGGCTAGCGACCTATTATTCACGGTGGTTCATGCACTCTCATCCTCGCACATAAACCCCATTTTGGTGACCATTAGCTGCCTAGCTGTCTAGGAAGCAACTTCCTAACTATGAAACTATGCTTTCACCTAGGGGAAATATACAAGGCACGTTTTGATACCGATTACCAAGAAGCATAATCCCAGGCCAATTCACATTTTGGCTTCTGGTTGGCGAGCCTTCCAGCCGCAGGTCGAAAGGCCCAATTTAAGTAGTGTAACGCTTTGGTTGTTTTTCGACGTTTATACATCTTCAGCCACATTTATTCGAAGTAATGCTCCAAATATTCAGTCGTATTGATTGCTATTCAACATTTGCACATTTTCAGCCACATTTATTTATTTGTTTTCATCTATTTTTTAAGGAAACTAAGTCTTTTTGAAGTTAAAGACATAAAGGAGGAACATGTTCTGATTAAAAAAAGCGTAAGTGTAATTTATTAGGCTTTTGCAAAATAGTAGAAGAAAGCAAAAAAGACTAGTTTTATTTCAATTTACACGGGCAGTTTCGACCATCTTACGTTTTATAGTGTGTACTTCCAATCCAAGAATTACCAAAAGGCGTAATTGTTTCAAAAAACCTAATATGAGGAACGCAATCTTTATGAAATATCTAGATGAAACCAAAATTGATTAGGACATGAATCGAAAATTAGTACTAAATGTTCAAAAGGTATGAACTGCTTTCCATTAGTGGATAGCCTGTACGGTAAAGTACTACGCATTGCAACCCCAGTCAAGCAAGCTGCTCTATTTGGAAGCATGCTTCAAAGTTTCCGGTGCGGTTTTGTGAGTTTCAACGTCTCACACAAGCGCCCACTGCGGCAGCAACGCGTAAAATTACAGCGTAATCGGATCCCCAGGGATTCCTTCTCCCACGATTCGTACTGACCGTGGTCGACACCAAAAGGTTACAAATGGCAAGAGAATTTTAAAAAAAACGAAGAACGACGTGCAAGTCAGGGTATTTTCTGTGCCTCATTACTGCTGAGCTGGCCGTGCGAGGGAGAATTTGGACCATAGAAAAAACTGAAAGTGCCTTCAGATGCCATAAAAGCTCAGGCGCCCAAGAAACGGCATTTGCGGTAATTTAGAAATGAAGCAAATGCCACGGCTGCCTCGAATATCTTCAGCAAGGCCTCACGCTATTCCCCCTCAGATATAACACCCAGCCCGCAAACGATATCCAATCACTGGATTTCCCAGGTGACCAGGGACATCACTGGCCAGCAGCTTGGCTGTTTTCAGTTTCTGTGGGGCAGTTTTCATTTTTATCTCTACATCTATGGACAT